TGCTCATTGATCCGCAGGCATGAGCGCTCGACCATCTATTTTTTTTTTTTCATTTTTTCAAATGTTTAGAATTTCTTTAGTTTTCTATTATTTTTAATTTTTTTCCTTTTCAATTTTTAAATTTTTTAAATTTTTAATTATTTCTTTTAAATTAATTTTTTTTTTACTTTTTAATTTTTTTTTTTAATTTTCAAAATTTTTAAAATTATCTTTTCAATTTTTTAATTTTTCATTTTTTTCCATTTTTGTAAATTTTAAACAAAATTTATCAATTTAGTAATTTTTTATCTTTCTGTGGATTTTTAATATTTTTAAATTATTTTAAATCTTTTTTTAAAATTATTTTAAATGTTTGTAATTTGTTTAATTTTTGTATTTTGTTCAATTTTTACAATTTTTTAGAATTTTAAAATTATTTTTTATATCTTTTTTTATTTTTGTAATTTAAACAAAAAAAATTGATAGTTTTTAAATTCTTCTTTTGATTTTTTGTGTCCCTGCAGGGAGCGATGGCTCCGCCCACAGCGCATCCACAGCATTCCCAGCACTCCGTGAGCCGCACCAGGAATTGTTTCCCTTCCCAAAGCAGCTCCGGGAGATCACAGGAACAACGGGATGGATTGCACTGAGGGATGAGTGGAATATTTGCCTTTACACACAAACTGCAGGGCTGCTGATCGCTGAAATCGGATATCGGAAGGTGAAAGAAAAAAACGGGGAAAAAACGCTGAATTCCATAAGAATGGAAATGCCAAGGGAGGGTTGTACATCAGAGGGGAATCTCAGCGATCAGGGCTTGGGAAGTCTGCGCCTCTCAGCGACCTCAGCAATGGGGAAAGAGAGAGGGAAACGTGGATGGGAAATTGGGATAAAATGGAGGCTGAGTCCCCCAAAAATTGGAGAGATCCCAGGGGAATGTCCCATGGCCTCTGCCTTTATTGGAATAAAGCAAAAGGACTGCTCTGATCCTTTTGGACACGGTCCTCTGGTGTTTGTGGGTTCATTTTCCGGGCGAGCCCCATCCCTCGGCAGGGGCACCGAGGGGCTCTGTGGTGCTGAGGCGCTGCTGGGTTGGTCCAGCAGAGCCCCCCGGGAATCCCCACGGCTGGGGGGGACCCAATTGTTGGGAGGGGGCTCCGGCTCAGCCTCCAGGAGCCCCCGCAGCCCCCACGCTGCTGCTCTGGACAGGTCACAGCCCCTGCAGAGCCACACTCATCCCGTCCTGGCAGAGCAGCCCAGAGCCTCACCTGCCTCCTCCCGGCTGGGGAAATGCTGGAATCCTTCCAAGTCTGCGGACAGAAGGACTCGGAGCACGGGGTCCTGAGGGCAGAGAAAGCCGGGCTGGGGCAGTGCTGGCCCCGGGGCACCGAGCAGGAGATGCAGCTCCGAGCTGGGCTGAGCCCACCAGCCACAGCCTCCCTGGGCTGCCGTGGCGTGGCCAGGGTCCCACACACCTTCAGGCCACAGAAGGCGAGCGAGAGCCCGTGCCTGCGCAGCTCCTGCAGCAGCTCTGCCAGCCCCAGCACCGCCGTGTAATCGATGCTGCTGACGTGGCAACAGTCCAGGATGACGGAGCGTGGTGGAGATGCTGCTGGAAGAGCACACGGTCATGTCCCTGAGGAGCCCAGAGATGAGCAGCCCAGGGGTCACAGCCCCCAGAGCAGGGCAGGGGTGGGACAGCTGTGCTGGCACCGCTCACACCGGCAGCCCTTGGGTGTGGGCAGCACTTGCACCCGCACCAGAAATGATGCAGGCAGTGACAGCCGTGTCCCCAGGACAGGCCAGGAGCTCAGGAGCCACACGGAGCTCAGCACACACGGAGCTCAGCACACACGGAGCTCAGCACACACGGAGCTCAGCACACACGGAGCTCAGCACACACAGAGCTCAGCACACACAGAGCTCAGCACACACGGAGCTCAGCACACACAGAGCTCAGCACACACAGAGCTCAGCACACACAGAGCTCAGCACACACGGAGCTCAGCACACAGAGCTCAGCACACAGAGCTCAGCACACACAGAGCTGAGCACACAGAGCTCAGCACACACGGAGCTCAGCACACAGAGCTCAGCACACAGAGCTCAGCACACAGAGCTCAGCACACACAGAGCTGAGCACACACAGAGCTCAGCACACACGGAGCTCAGCACACACGGAGTTCAGCACACACGGAGCTCAGCACACAGAGCTCAGCACACACAGAGCTCAGCACACACGGAGCTCAGCACACACGGAGCTCAGCACACACAGAGCTGAGCACACACAGAGCTCAGCACACACGGAGCTCAGCACACACGGAGCTCAGCACACACGGAGCTCAGTACCTGGCAGGGCACGGCTGCACACGCAGTCCCGCAGGTGCTCCACGGCTGGGAAGTGCAGGCTGCTCCCCGGCTGCACCAGCAGCACGGCCCCCTCCGACACCTGTGGGGTCACAGGGAGCTCAGGGTTGTGACCTTCCCCAGGCAGGGACAGCTGTCCGTGTCACTCACTGTCCTCCTGGATGGACTGGGAGAAGCAGGAGCCCCCATCCCTCAGGGAAAACCCTCCTGGACACAGCTCAGTGTCAGCAGGACAGGGACAGCGATGCCAACCTGTCCTGCTCTCAGTGTGAGGATGCTCCTTTCCTCCTCTTTGAGAGGGGTCCCTGTGCTGTCCCCTGTGCTGTGCCC